GGTCTAACAAAACGAACATTCCAAAGCTGGCTCAGGACTTCTCCAAGGCTGGTAGAGGAGGTCACACAGAAGGACACTTCAGCAAGTTCTAGCCCCAGGATGCAGCACAGACAAGGGCAGACACTCCACGAATATTTGATGAGGTAAAGAGAGGAAGTGGTAAAGTCTGCAGCTGTTCCCCACGATGAGAGGCACAAACCAGACACTCAGGTGTGGCTGAGCAGAATAATGTGTGGATATAGGATCCTGCTGGGAACTTGCAAAGGCCCCCAACAGACTGCAGTAACAGTGCAGCCAGACAGGGACAGCTGAATCATTCTTCTTTAGGACAGCTATTCAACTTCAAGTTCCTGTTGACATTCTCACCTCCTGGGCTTAGCTGCTTTGGTGGCGGAAGGCTCTAGGTTTTCTCTAGCCCGGCAGGCACAGGAAGAAAAGGGTTGTTATTAAGCTTTTATCTTCTGCTATCAGGGAGGAGCACCCTGCTCTGAAAGCAGAGCTGTTTGAGCAGATGTTTTTCACTGTTCTTCAGAGGTGGTGCAGTTTGCTCGCACCGTGAAGTGGGGAAACCAGGTAAGTTGTGAAGGGGATACACTGGGTGCGGCTGCTTGCTTCCTTCCTCTAAGTCTGGCTTATCCACTATGGAAAATAAAGGATTTCCTAAATGTTGAAGACATCTGTATTCCAATGAAAACACAAACAAGCCGGGCTCGGTGGCTCAGTCTGTAATCCCGCGCCTTGGGAGGCTGAGGTGAGTGGATTGCCCGTAACTTAGCGAGACCTCATCTCTACAATAAATCAAAAAAATTAGCCGGGTGGGGTAGTGCGTGCCTGTAGTTCCAGCTACTTGGAAGGCTGAGGCAGAAGGATCACTGGAGCCCAGCAGGTCGAGGCTGCAGTGGATGGGAGAGGCCCCTGCACTCCAGTCTGGGTGACAGTGAGACTCCAACTCAAAAAAAAAAAAGAAAAAGAAAAAGAAAACACAAACAACACATTTCCAAGGCAAGTTGGAACTATTTGCTACTTATTATCATGAATTATTCATGGATATTCATTCTTTTCCATATGAGGAGAGGAATGGCAGTTAATAGGCTTAGACAAGTGTGTAGCAATTGACTTGGGTCTGTAAGATCTACCCTTTAGCAGTGCCTCCCAGCACTTTGGGAGGCGGAGGCAAGAGGCTTGAGCCCACAGGTTCGAGACCAGCCTGGGCAACTTGGTGAGACCTCATCTCCACAATAAATTTAAAAATGCAGCTGGGTGTGGTGGCGCATGCCTATGTGTGCAACTACTTGAAGGCTGAAGCAGAAGGATCACCCGAACCCAGCAGGTTGAGATTTTGGTGGCCATGAGTGTGCCATTCCACTTCAGTCTGGCTGACAGACTCCGACTCAAAAAAACAAAAAGATCCACCCCTCAAAATAGGTTGTACCTTCAGCTCTTCAGGACACCTGGAGGCAGGACACTTCCTTTTATGAGCACAGAAGGCCACTGCATGTGGGGACAGCCCACACCTGCCAGCAAATACGGGCCTGTGGAGCTCGGATAGGAAGATGTTGCTTTTCTTAGACCAGAAACCAATCCTAGCAATGAGTTTGAATTGACATTTGCAGCCAGGATTTGGCCTTATTTTATTTAATTTCCTCAACAACTAAATATTGTAGAACAACTAATGCTAGGCCTTATGGGAGACAAAAAAAAAAAATAGACCAACTGGAGTGCAGTGGCACACTCATGGCCACCGCAGCCTTAATCTTAATCTGCTGGGCTCAGGCGATCCTTCTGCCTCAGCCTTCCAAGTAGCTGGAACCACAGTCATGTGTTACCATGCCCAGCTGATTCTTTGATTAATTGTAGAGATGAGGTCTCGCCATGTTGCTCAGGCTGGTCTTGAACCTCTGAGCTCAGGTAATCCTCTCGCCTCTGCTTCCCAAAGTCCTGGGATTACAGGTGTGAGCCACTGTGCCTGGCTGGAAGATGTTTTTAAGATGTATTACATAACTTAAATCACAACTCAGTGCAAGAGATGTCATAATGCAGTATATAATTTGGTGCGAAATGAAAGACTTCGCTCACTCATTGTAACAGACAATCAGGGGGGAAGAAGTTCCAGGATGAGATGGCCTAAGAAGCTTCATAAAGAAGGCATGATTGAATTGGGTCTCCAAGAATGGGGAGTGAGGTCTGGGTAAGAGCCAAGAGAAGAAGTAGAAATGACCCAGCACAGGGGTTGGCCAAGTGGGCCACATCAGGCCTACCACCTGTTTCTGCACAGGCCATGAGTTAAGAATAGTTTCTACTTTTTTTTTTTTTTTTTGAGTTGGAGTCTCACTCTGTCACCCAGACTAGAGTGCAGTGGCACGTTCCCGGCCACCGCAGCCTCAACCTGCTGGGCTCCAGCAATCCTTCCACCTCAGCCTTCCAGGTAGCTGGAATTACAGGTGCACTCTACCACACCTGGCTAATTTTTTATTTATTGTAGAGATAAGGTCTTGCCAAGTTGTCCAGGTGGGTCTCGAACCTGCGGGCTCAGGCAATCCACTCACCTCTGTCTCCCAAAGCGCTGGGATTACAGGCTGAGCCACAAAGCCTGGCTTTTTTTTTTTTTTTTGAGTTGGAGTCTCACTCTGTTGCCCAGGCTAGAGTGCAATGGCATGCTCATGGTCACTGCAGCCTCAATCTGCTAGGCTCAGGCAATCTTTCCACCTCAGCTTCCAAGTAGCTGGAACTACAGATGTATGCCACCACACCTGACTAATTTTTTGATTTATTGTAGAGACAAGGTCTCACCAAGTTGCCCAGGCTGATCTCGAACCTGTGAGCTCAGACAATTCTCTCACCTCCACCTCCCAAAGTGCTGGGATTGCAGGCATGAGCCACAGCGCCTGGCTAGTTTTTTCATTTTTTTATTTTTTGAGTTGGAGTCTCACTCTTGTTACCCAGGCTGCAGCGCAATAGCATGCTCCCGTCCACCGCAGGCTCAACCTGCTGGGTTTAGGCAATCCTTCCTTCTCAGTCTTCCAAGTAGCTGGAACTACAGACACACGCCACCACACCCGGCTAGTTTTTGTGATTTATTATAGAGACAAGGTCTCACCAAGTTGCCCAGGCTGGTCTCGAACCCCTGGGCTCAGGCAATCCTCTTGTCTTGGTCTCCCAAAGTGCTAGGATTACAGACTGAGCCACTGTGCCAGTCATTTTTTCATTTTTAAATGGTTGGAAAAATAAATAATATTTCATGACAAGTGAAAATTACATAAAATTCTAATTTTAGTGTCCATGAATACAGTTTTATTGAAACACAGTCACACTTACTTGTTTACATATTGTCTTTTTTCTTTTCTTTTTTTTTTTTTTTTTTTAGAATCAAGAGTCTCACTCTGTTACCTAGGCTGGATGCAGTGGCAGTCTCATGGTCATTCCAGCATCAACCTGCTGGGCTCTGGCGATCCTTCCACCTCAGCCTTCCATGTAGCTGGAACCATAGGCACACGCTACCATGTCCGGCTAAATTTTTGATTTGTTGTAGAGGTGAGGTCTCACAAGTTGCCCAGTCTGTTCTCGAACGTCTGAGCTCAGGCAATCCTCTCATCTCGGCTTCCCAAAGTGCTGGGATTACAGGCTTGAGCCACCGCGTCGGGCATGTTTACATATTGTCTATGTCTGTTTCCCATTACCAGGGCAGTGCTGAGTAAGGGCAGGGCTTTGAGCTTCAGCACAAAGCCTAAAACACTTACTCTCTGGCCCTTTAGGGAAAGTTTGCCAACTCTGGGTCTATGATATCAGAGGGGGAGTTGTTAGGCTGTGGCTGGAGAAGCAGGTTTGTCTACAAGGACTGTGGAAGTTCAGTGGTCATGGTAACCAGGGATCAGTTACAAATGCCAGCTAAGAATATAAACTCAGCTCTGTAGGCAATGGTTGAGCATGATTAGCATGTATACGAACATAGTTATGTTATCTATGTGCACATGGCACAACTTGACTGGAGCCCAGTTTTTCATGCTGAGGTACGCTTACAGAGATGTTCCTGTACATACAAACATGTAAGTTTACATATTATGTATGTTGTTTCATTAGAAAAATCCACAAATGTTGGGAGGCCGAGGCTAGAGGATTGCCTAAGCCTAGGGGTTTGAGACCAATTTGGCAAGACCTCATCTCTACAATAAATCAAAAAATTAGCTGGGTATGGTAGCATGTGCCTGTAGTTCCAGCTACTTGGAAGGCTGAGGTGC